ACACACACACACACACACACACAGACAGACTAACCAACAGACACACTTAGCGCGTTATATATAGTAGGATTATTCTAGTCTTTTTTTTTGCATGTTTGAGTTATGAGAAACCCCTCCTAAGTAAGGAACTACTCTATGGTGTAAATTAGCTCTGGTGAGCTGAAATTCTGATTTTTCAACTGCTTTACTCCTGATTTCGCAGTAATTCAGCCGACTCCGACATCTGTGGTGTTCGATGGCTAGGTGATAGCCACATCTTAGCAGTTGTTTCGAGTTCTATGGGTCTCTTCTTTCTATCAGCCGAGTTGCAAACTGTTCTTGCGGCATTGGTAAGTTTCAATGTTCTAGTTCATAGCATCTTCTCCGTACTTCAGCAGAATCTTCCATGCGAATTTTTCAGACCTTGCCCTCACAGGCACCGTGCAAACGTGCTTTCCTTTCTACAGGTGTAATTGGCGATGTATGCTGTCTCTCCATTGCTCGAGAAGATGGGGAAATAGTAACGCTTCAAATACCGGAATGGTCTCTTCTAAACGGATCATTGAGAGATTCCCCACTCCAAGAGGTAGAATTCTCCACGACTTTAGTCTTTTGCTATGTTTTCCTTCACTGAAGTGTATCTATAGTTTTCTAAAAACGAAATAAATAGGCCAAAAGGCTTATAAGAATCAATCGACCACTCATGCCCTTGTTGCAAGATTTGAGCTCACATCATGAAAGAGAGAATGAATTTGTTCGCTGGCTTAGCTCAAAGGGTGTAATCGAGGATGTTGAAATTGACTAATGCTAAGTATAAAAAGCATATGGGAGCGTCCAAACATTTCTCTTCATTTCAGCGAAAAAAGAAAGAAAGGCCCTCTTCGCGTTAATGTTTGGGTTCTCGGAAATCGCGAAATTCTTGTTGATTTATTTCATACTTCTGCTGTAGCCATTCTATCGCAAATTCGGAGTAAAATGAGCAAAATGACCGGTGAATCGCTTGTGTGGAAGTGGACCTATTTCTGACAACGCAAGTGCGCATCTGCAAGAACGAGCATCTGTTGACATCATGCAAACTTGCTTGGTACTATCTAATTTCATCCGAAAATTCCCTTGCTTTTCTCTTGATTCAAAACATAAGAATTTTAAAGAGTAAGCGAATAGTTCTTCCACTGTGAACGAGGAAGAGTGGAGGATGTAGCTTGAACCTCGAGAAGCGTTTGCACATTTGTAGAAAGAGCAATATCTGAATTCGGATTAATCTGACGCTCTGTTCTGGCGACTATCTAGCCGCCGAATACGGATGACATTGATGTTTGCGAGTCAAGAATGGTATGAAATTAAAAAGAGAGACCTCCAGTAATTGGCTTGTGTAACTGGAATATTTTTTGCGCGGTTACCAAATGCGCTCGGAATAGTTTTGTTCGTCTATCAAGACGAACCGGCGTAAGTCGTGATTGTTGTGATCCACAACTATTCTGCATGTTCTCATTAAACACTTAACAAGCATAATGTGAATTTCCGCTAAGATGGCGGTTCAGTTATATTTCTCAACTACCAATTCAACGCTCATGATAAATATTTCGAGATCATGTCGCAGGCATGACATAGTGGTATCCTACTGTCACATGTGCTCTTTCGATCCTCGGCTTAAATAAACGCCATAGTTTCCAAGGGCTGGTATTTAAGCAAAGGCACTAAGCAACTAAGGTATTTGAGCACCATATGTGTTTCTGAACTTTCTGTGGTGAGGAAATAGTTATGAAATAGGAAGACTATCAATATTGAATATATTGATCCCCTAACAATGTCTTAGAATGGCGAGTGGACATATGATGCAGACGTTAGCGTACGTAGCCCAACTGGTAAGATATTGCAATGGTTGGATTTGTTGATCAGGCAGTGTCAGTGATACCCTCTCGGCGAAACCTTCGAGGTGGTTCAAATTCTGCATACTGAATTTCTTCTGTCATGCTGAAAAGAAGGACGTTGTGATTCCTATAGTTACTGCCAATGAGAGCAGAGTAAATAATCATCTCAAAGGCTACGAGCCAATGACAATGTCGAAGACTAATGGAGCATTGAAGAGCTCGTTTATGCATTTTGTGGAAAAGAAAGAGAAATTCTGGACACAATGACTATTCCATGGTGACCTAGGCGCTACATATTATTGAACACGAAAATAATGATCTTCCTCTAGTCTATGCGTGGCTTGTTGTTAAAAATCGCTCAGCAAAAAATTGAGAATAAAGTTTTATCTGGTTCGCAAGTGTCTGTCTACCATGCGCCATCTTGCTTTCAACTACTTCTTTCAATACAGTTTTCCTCTGATTAGAAAGGATCCGAGAATATCAAGACGGCCACCTTCGATAGCCGATTTCGTCTGCACACAGTTTTGATTGGTGATTACAACGAAACCTTGGTTACTAGTTATCCGAATCTAATTTCAGTTGCTGCAAAGCGCTGAAATTGTGCAATCAGCGAGCAAATGTCCTCTAAGTGATATCATCTGTACGGGTGATTTATTGATTCAGGTGAGTACAATTTCGATGAATGTTTCATTTTTTCACCAAAAATTCTTTGTTCGTTCCGCAAAATATTATGCCTAGTGCTACGCCATTTTCACAGGTTCCGGCGCAAAAATCACCATTACAAATCTGCCAACTTGGGGAGTCCACTGCAGAGGCTCTGGGCGATGCCTTCACAGGTAATTTGGTCTACTTTTAGAAGTATTCCCGGAAAAAAACATTTCAGCGATGAATTTTGTACGAGTGCGTTCTTGCTGCAACAATCGCTTTCTAATGGGGCTGACTCTCGACGGTTGTTTTGTTGTCACTGACCTTTGGACTTTCTCTACAGTCTTGGAGAAAAACTTGCGCCAAAATGAGGTATATTTGTGTATCATGAATGCTGAGTTAGGAAGGCTTGTCCTATGAGCTTAGCGAGTTTTGAACAGAACTTGTTCATCGTCAACCTAATGAGACTTTCTGTTAGCGGACGGCGAAATAACAGCGGTTAACAAAACATCAAGTCGAAAAAGGCTTGTCCTATAGTATACTTAGGAGCATTCAAAGAATTTGCCAGTTTACTCGACATTCTGAGAACATTGTTCATTCTAGGAAGAAGTGTTCGCCGACTTTATTTTTGTCAACAAGCCGACGATCGGTCCCAAATTGGAGACCATTGCTCTCATTGTCAAGATGGGGAACCGCATAGAAGTACGTTCTATTTCCATTCCTTGAAGTATTCAAGCCCCCGAAACAGATGACAGTCAGAATTAGTTCATCTGTGACTTTTAGATGCAAGTTCGATCTATGCCATCTTTGGAAGTTGTATATTGCGTTGCTGTAAACGAGAGCACCGCGCTACTAAACGTGTCCGAAACTGCGGATCGTGTGATTCTTCTTGTAGAGTCGTTTTCCTCAAATGTTGTGTTAGTTTCCCTTTTTCCGAATAATTGATGCAGATTTATATGTGCATATTTTGTCAGTTTATTCTAAATATTGCTGATTTTTCTAACGTTTTATGATGCTTAGATAGGGGTCATAATCATTCTGAGAATACGTTAGCTCTGCAAACAAATATTTAAGGTGTGAAAATGACACGGTTAAAGTTCGCGAAATTGTGGAGGCTCAACCTGACATGAAGCTTCAGAGGCTCATTAGCAGATATCAACTGGATCAAGCCGAGCAATTTGCTATTCAATTCAAATTGGACGTCCAGGTGTGTGTTTGTTTTTTTTGTTGGAGTTTCTCAGAACTAACTCGTCGTTTTGGTCTCATATCATCAACTTCCTTAACATATCAATCGTTAGTTTTCTCGCTTTCGAGCGTGTAGAAGACTGAAAGTTTCATTTGAATGAAGGTGAAAAGCGGAAGGCCTTTCGAACCCGTAGCCTCTTCAACCAGTTGAGACTAGAACATTCGTAAAAACTTTAAAAAATTCGGTTTCAACCCTAACCATGTCTAAACATATCCCACCTACCTTTATACTTGAGTTCTCTTTCCTTGTTCGCCTCTAGCCTTTTTTTCGCCCTTTTTCCTAGTTCTGGACGTATAGTAGCAATCGGATTGCTTTCAAAGTTGGCAGTAAGTTTCGACTTCGGCACCCTCTGACTGGAAGCACGTGTCCGATCGTTTCAGGCATGCTTTGCACACCGCAGACCTTGAACAGCTACTTTTTGACTTCTACACTATACATAGTTTTGACTTCTACGTTTTGAGAGAAGTTATAAATTTGTAAACTGAGTACTATCCACTTAAAAACGCTCCGCTTCGAGGAAAGGGAAAGGGGAATTCGGTATGAGTGGAACATAGGTGATGAAATGTGGACCATGGGGATGGGCTAAGGAGAGTGCCGAAGGGCACTCTCCTTAGCCCATCCCAATGGTNAGTCAGACGTGGCGTCGAATGAGAGGCGGACACGTCATCGACACACCCGCCCATTGAATCATCGCGAACGGTGCCTTTGAGTGCTCTTTCCTTATTCGCCTCTAACCTCTTTTCCTAGTTCTGGACGTATAGTAGTCATCGGACTGCTTTTCAAGTGTGATATTAGGTTTCGACTTTTTCATCCTCTAACTGGATGCACGACTCCCACCGTTCAGACATGCTTGGCGCGCCACAGACCTTGATCATCTTCTTTTTTGACTTCTACGCTGTGCCGGGATTTATGAATTGTGGACTGAGTATTATTCACTTTAAAACGCTCCCCTCTTGAGAACGGGTGCCCATCGACACATTTTTTAACCCACGGTCCACATTACATCCCCTATATTCCACCCATCCCGAACTTTACTCAGCTTTTTCGGGTATCGGATTTCGTGAGCATCCGGCAGACCACTTAGTGCAAGTCTCAAAGGATGAGGTCTTCACATCCATCAATTCCGTTCTCTGGGATGTGCATGTGGCCTATACGATTATTTGCTGTAGTCAGCCAAAGGATAAGCCAGTGTCTTCATCCTCCGAGACAGAGTGGTACCGAGTGAACGAACGTGAAGGAATGAAAAGCTCGGATAACCCGAACACTGATTCTGGATTCGACCATCAGATCATGTGTGTGCATGTGTGTATGTATGAGTATGTATGTACATATATATGTGTGTGTTAATATGCCATCAAAGTCTGCATGAATATGTCTTACGAGAGACGAACTTCTCCATTGGCTTACCCTTACTTATAAACATCTCTGTTTAGAAAGTTTACGTTGCAAGAATGAACTACCACTTCTCTCAAGCTACCAGAACCGATTCTGACGAAGAGTTTTTAAAATTGATGAAGTCATTCGAAAATGTGAAGGATCACAACCTGGTGAGATCTTCAATCCATTTACTTTTCGTAATCCGCAGATATGGGCGCGTTATTTATTGTTTTGTTGTGTAACACTGGTCTCTATTCTCTGAACCTTCATTTTACCATTACGAGAGGAGCACAATGAATCTGGATACGTCCGCTTTGTCTTCGAGTAGTCTTTTTTGGAGGCTGTTTGATTATCGTTTTGCCCAGAATTTTCGAAATTCCGATTCAGCGGGCTAAACCGTTGCCTTTATTACCGTCTTATACACTCCTTTATGCAGACATAGAAGTAACTGGTCACTTGAAACTAAGTTGTATCATTACAAAATCGCATAACGTGCCCAGTCTCCGATTACTTAACATGTGCGACTGGGTCCTTGCCACTGCGCTACGAATGACCTGACTGCATGCTCATCCTGCTTGTGAAAGTCCTGGTTGCAGACGTTTTACTGAAGTTTTCTTCCTGAAATAGAAGGGCCTCTAAAAATCAATCTGTTCCTCGTGAACACTCTTTCGATACATCTAGTCGGACGCTAATTTTCCCAAGAGCGTGGTCAGATTCGGTCATGATTCATCCCACCTTTTCGATATTTGTTGTTGTAAACACGTAGTCGTTGCAAAGTGGAAATGATGAGTGCCGGCAGTTACCTTTACCCACATGTCTTCCGGTTCCGTTGACGTGTGGATCTTTTTGCGAGGCACGTGGCAGAATACAGGGTAGATATCAGTTGCCTCATGCCCCCTACTTTTGCTCGAATGGACGATGACTCCTTGTAGAATGGTGAGCATCTGAGGGTCGTGAGGGTGTTGTGGAGCTTGCAAAGTATTCTTACGTGCTGAGTTGGAACGCCATTGTTGCTCAGGACATAAATGACCGCTTGTGCTTCAACGGTGTCAGAAGCATTCCGTAAACCAAAGTGGGGAAGATGTGTCAGCTTCTTAGGCTCTCACAGCAGTAAAACACGATGACCTATCCAGCTGCTTCCGATGATAGGTAAGCAGGCGGGTATGGATACGAAAAAGGGAAGTCGTAGATGATCTTATCCAGTGCCGATTTGGATACAACTACTGTTCACTCAGAATCTTCCTGGCTTCAGAAATTTCGAGAGAGCGGTCTCTCACTAACTCGTACATCTCTTCGCTTACGCTGCATCATCGTGAAGATGTTCGATCAGCAAGTTGCATTATTCTCAACTGAATAGTTCAAGTTCGCCTTAGATTTGTCCATTTGTTGACTGCAAAGTCAACAAGAGGAATAGCGAGTTCCCATGTATGAGGGTACCTGCTCTGCTGACTCCTTGCTGTCACATGCCTCAAAAAACAATTCCTTCCCACTGTCAAAAATGGCGTTAATCGAGCCTTCTTGTCTTCATCAGGCCGATGATGGATTGGATTTTCGGTCCTGTGCTCTCACGTCTTCAGTATGCGCCTACGATGCTTTCGCTTTGAAATACAGGTTGCCTCTGTCCTGCATCGTTTGGGTAGCCTGTAATAGTCTCAAAATTTGGGTATCTCCTCCGGAGAGATATACGCATTGGTGTGGTAGTGGCTCTGCGGATTTTAAAAAAATAAGGTCTTAAATTTCCTTGTTTCCTACACATAGGTACCCAAGAGTACCTGTATGAGTGCTCATAAAGCCAAGCATGGGGTGCGCTCTGGCTGCTCGAATAGGGAGGGTAGTGTGTCGCAGTGGCTGCTCAAGATGCAATATACCCATATATTTGTTTTCGAAGGCTGATTTCAAATCCACGTTAAAACGGTACGATTGCGCGAACGTAGTAACTGGCTTCAAATAGGGAATTTTGAAACTGAAGTGCTTACTGCACTATAACTAATTGGTAAGAGGCATTGGATATCTCAGTAATCCTTCAACGAGCTGCTCTAACGTTGACTGTGTACGTATTTTTGGTTGCGATTTCCATGTTCCTGTTATATGTTTGAATAGACTTTCGCCTTCGATGTCAAGACTATAACGATTCTTTTAAAAGTAATTTCGTGAGTATCATGGATGCCTCGTTTACAGGTCGGGGAAATTTGTTTGAGCGGTGCTGTAACATTCGAGGATTACGAAAGAATAACCAGCCTCCTTACGTATGTTAAAAAGAGGGCTATCACTGGTACGTTTTCCATGGGGCTTTTAATTCCATCTTGCTTTGTTAGAGCTTCTACACTTTCTCTCTACTCGAGGAAATTTTGGATTTTAATCAACCGCTGTCTGAGTGCTTCTTTTAAGATAGCGACACAATCGCTCGGCTGTCACAGGCATCCTACGTGTTGGCGACGTATCGTTTAATGAACGGGCCTGAAAATGCAAAATTTGGATCTGATTCTCTCTGGCACCATTTTGTTGCTGGCATATTGGGAGAAGGGGATTGGTATAATTTGTTCATTCATGCTCTGGAGAACGAACAAATAAAGGTATGGATCTTGATGCAACTTCTTTTATTTTCCATTTGTGCAGCCTTCTTTAATGGCTGCAAACAGTTTCATGAATGAGCAACAAACTTTCACTCCTACAAATAGGCAAATGTTCTTGACTAACTAAGCGACAAACTTTATCGCCCACTGGAAATATCATCGTTAACACATCTGCGACTGCTCTTATTTGCAAACGAAAGACGCATACTATTACTTTTGTAGATGACAATGCCGAAACATAGCATTTCTCAAAAGAGCTCGGTAGGTATCGTTCCAGCATTGCTATGCTGCTAACTGAGTACTTTCTAGGATGTTTGAGATAAGATGCATGCTATTTCGCAGATTCTTAGTAGTAATCACACAGTTATTGCGCATGATCTTCTCCGTTGAATGGCATACTCTTTCGTAATATACTGTATTTGAGGCGTTTTGTAGCTTGTTCATTTACTTTTCACGTTGCAGGAAGCGCGGATTTTATGGAATCGTCACATATCTTGCATTGCTCCACACTTCAGCAATGACGATGACAAGGATCGCACGGAAGCAAATTTGCAAAAGTTCTTCAGTGTTTTAAGGAATGCTCTCCTGAGTAAGTCATATGAAACTTTTGATGCTCATCGTAGAATGTTGTAAACGCTGGCTGGCATTGACGGAAACTACCCATTGCTTTGTTTTATTTTTACTTAAAGGCGCTAAAAATTAATACGCCATAGATGGCAACCAATATGAACCTTGTCTACGTGGTTTTTTTACTGCTGAGCTGTCAGCCTCTCCTGCGAAGTTAGGGTCGACAATTGTTTTTCACTGTTCTTTGTATAGATGTCATGATTTCGTTGTTAATAGGTGTTGCAGCAGTAATGGTTGGGGTGATTTACATATGGTCCGGGTATCTGATTCCGGATCGTTTCCCGTTCAGACCAAGGCCAATAGCAAGCCCCACATCCTACCACGGTTTATTGTTACCGTATTCCACGTCCACTGGCTCCACGGCGCGTTTGAATTCCAAGTGCTCATTTTGAGAACCCTTCGGCCTTTCAGGAAAAGTTGGGTACATAGATGTATACCGAAAAGGGACGGAACAATGTCAAAAACAACCTCTCTTCTTTATTTGCTTGCGATTCAATTACGCCCACTTGATTAAAAAAGCGAATTCGGGGGTGCCCATCATCCTGTTTGGGAAGCGCCACGCATCGCCGTTGAAATTCAAAATGGAAAAGGTTGTATTGTATATGGGATTCACTCTTTGGAAAAGCACTATTTGAACCAAAGCAGTCGTTCATAGCATTCAACTAGCGTTGTTATTACCCTTAATTGTAGTAGATTGGCCCACATCGCACCCAAAGAAGTGGTTTACCTAACCCGCAACAGGTTTATTGGAACCAATTTTGAATTATGCATAGGAAATGATGCCCGTTATAAAGCGCTTCTCCCATCGCTTCGAGTCTTCTCCGTTCGATTTTTGGTCCATTCCTATTATATGTTCATTTCTTCCCTTCCCCCTCCCCCCAGTGGCGTAGCCCTTTTGAGCTAACAGCTCACATTGCTCTGTTGACCTGCCTATGCGATACCTATCCCCTTTTATGACCTCTATAGGTGTTACTCAGGTGGTACAGAAATTCGTGACAGACGGAAAAAATGAGGCAGCGCTTATCTAGTGAGTAAAGATTATAATTCTAGAACATTTTCAAGAGATTCATGGATACTTGGTTTTGGCTCCCCAACTTCAATACGCACTCCTTCCACCATGAGGATTTGACCACTCTCATTCTACAGTCTCTGACTACTTTTTTTTTACTCTAGAAAATTTTCTGAACGGAGTTATAAAATTTTCTCAAAAACCACTTTCCATTTGTATGTCCTAAGTAGAGCTTTATTAAATTCACGCATGCGCGCTACATATGAGACCTTGCTCAATCCTTCGTTATTTTTGCGGTTTTCAAGCTTTCGTTGAATCGAGCCATGAATTTATGTACAAAGCACTGCTCCATGAGAACGCTCCGCCTACCACGGGTTTGTCTCCCTCATTTCAATTGTTGGCCAAGCCTTTACGTTTCATTGTTTCCCTGCTCTTTGTTGCTATCAATCGAGTTATTATCTTCTTCCCATTCAGCGACCATCCTTGTGCATATCCTGCCCGAAATTAGCGGAGTTCCGCTGAGCTTACGTGTGCTCCGTTGTTCCCACCCTATGCAACCCATCCCGAACTTCACCCGATTTATTCGGGTAGTAGCGAAAAAACCGAAAAAAGCAAACATACAGAAAGGCCTGTGCGCTATGTATAGTAAGGAAAACTATAACGTCCTTGTATTAGTAACAATCTCCATCGGTGAAGTGTGAAGATGAAACGGGCTAACGATCATGCGAATATCCCAAGGTGCCAGTCTTGTACAGTAAGTTTGTCTTGATGCAGATCACTACGAAATAGTCATTCTGAAGAGAAAGTTTGTGCTTTTTATTTCTTCCGCTTTTTTCTTTTGAACAATGTGGTGGTTTAGGAGACATCAACTGTTGGCGTGGCATTATAGCGTTTTTGGAGTTTGACTTCATTCCGGCTTGTCTATCGAAACTGCCAGAAAAGGTTTTTTATACAAATTTGATAAAATAGCTTTTCTTGAAGCTTGAAGGAAAAATTAATATTTTACGGGAGTGTCGAAGAGTCCCATTAAATCGTTTTCGATGTTAGCTGCGATTTAGAATCCTGATGGAATTTTTTTCATTTTATTATTGCATAATGCGGCTTTATAATGCTTGTTGTTTTATTGATAAAACATTTTATCAGATCTGTGCAATGCTTGTCGACTTTCTACTTGAACTAGCGAAAAGGCTGGAAATGATGGATGTAGATGGCTTCCCGCTCAACGCTTTGCATGCAACGTCAACTTTTGAACGTATCCTTCAGAGACAAGTTGCTGAAACGATTACGGGAACCCGTCAGGTATGATGTGCAACCTGCTTCTGGCATCAATTGAGCATACAATCCTAGATTTATAGGCAGAACTGGCGTATGTGGGATGTTTGCTTCGTTCTGATGCCCATGGGAAGCAGTCGAGGCTAACCGAACTCGATAGGTACAGTGCCAATCTCAAGATGATCGAGAGACTGAAAACGGTGTATAATTGCCCTCTCAGCTATAGTACCTACGTAGTGAGTTACTCGAACATCATTATTTTCTGAATTTGGTGCTTTCTCACGTACTTTGTTTCATAAAGGGCTTGAATTCTGAGCAAATCTGTCATCAAATTTTACAACAATCGGTGCAAAATCCGAACTTGATGAAAAAGAACGTGGAAAGATATGCACGACAGTTTATGGCTGAACACAATTTGGATCCAGATGAGACTCTCTACCGTTATATTGAGGTAAATAGTGGTTATTCGTTCGCATCACTCGGCTTCTAAATTTCTCTAATATTTGAAGCTCTCCAGTCTATTCGATATGCCACCTCTAATATGGCTCGAGGTTATTGTTATTTCGAAGAGCAGCAAGTAGTGGTCATAAAGACTAAAAATCAAAAAGCTTTGAAAGAGCAGCTGATAGAGGTGGTGTGCTTGATTGACAGTTTGGTGCCCATACGAAGCGATAGAAGGCTACAAGCCCATGCACGCAGTTGACGCTGTCATCAACCAAAACAACTAGCTCTCGTCTTTGCAGTCTTGATCAATAGACCAACTTGGAAAATGGGATAAGGATCGGGTTTGTTAAGGATAGGATAGGTAGAGCTGTGTCAAGTCAGTATATGTGAATAAGTTATCTCTACACAGTAACTTTTCGAGACTGAGCATATCACGTGTAGCGTGGCTAATCTGACCGTAATTCCGGTAATTGAGTTGTTTGAGAACAACAAGTGGAGAATACGGAGGTCCGGTTGATTTGGGTGGGAAAAATGGAAGCATGCAATGAAAAGAATATCTGCGAGTTGTAGTGTTTCACTGTTCTGCTGGGCCCACTAAATGTTTATGCCCGATTGTCTCAATTTTGCCGATTGACGCATTTGATTATCTCTATCTTCGGGCGAAAGCATCCTCAACTTGGAAGCAATTCAAACGGTAAGATAGAGTAAATCGTAATCATAATCGTAAAATCGAGTTCTTTTATAGCAGTGAAATTGAAGAATTAATTTATTTAGGACGAGACTATTTAGATTATTTGCGACTAAATGAAAGTATATTATTGTTGACATATTTTCCTGATTTGCAGGAAGTGTCGTCACGGTCGCGAGGTATGGTCGGTATGAAGAGCGCTTGGCACGATCAATGTCTGATGATATCAGAAACAATTGCTAATCTTTCTATAAGGTTTGGAATTGATCCTAATTGTCTCCCATATTAATTTAGCAAAACAAAGTGATACAATGGATTTTTCAGATCCAAAGCGGTTTGTATGGTGGCAAAAGCATCTCGTCCACCATGGAACAAACGTCTGTCAGAGGCTGTGCAGTCAGTGTTGAATAACGCACAAGTCGATCACGAAATGTAATTCTATATAAACTAAATCATTCGAATTTCCGAACGAGCTACGTTTTAAGGCACAGTTCACGATAATAATGGCCTATGAGATATCCCGCTAGGATGAGTCTGTGGCCGCTCGTATATATCATATGTGCCGCTACCAACTCGAGAAACGGCTTAGTTAGGGCGTTATGAAGGTTCAAACATTGTCCCGTGTGTATGCACGGACGAATTTCAACGGCATCGTAGAAGCTGCACCACTCACAAGGGAGCGACCGTGGGAAGTTCAAACAACTTGTCATGACCCATAGCGACAGTGAAAGACAATTCTGGACAACTATGGATTGACATAGTCAGCTATTCGCGCAATCGCAACCACAAAAATCTTGTCCAAATACTTATCCCACATAATTTTCGTCGTGGTAACCTTGTACAAAGTCTAATTGCACTTCTTGTAAGGAGCTTTATTTTTCTTAAATTAAGCAAATTTTCTCGCTTCCTTCCCCAACAGTGCACTATTTCCGACCAACACTTCCGCTTTTCGACTTAAAATGGGTACCTCAAAGTTATCGTGAACTGTGTCTTAAAGGTGTGTCGTAACCTCTCAAACTCAACTTTCAAATAGTGCACAAATACAGGCTAGCTCTTATGAAGTGTGACATAAAAAACTAACATTAAAACTATACAAATCAAACCAAATAGGAAACATCTACTTCCATACAATCATCACAAAAATCGTAACCAACATATCACATCTCGCATTCATAATGACCACCTTTCGCCTTAATGCGAGTATCCAACCTCTTTCGGGAGTTTTCAAGAAAGAACTACTTCCGGTGAGATTTCGTTCCATGCTCCCACAAGAGAGCTTTTTTCAGAGTCCAAAGACCTGTGTTTGAAAGCGCAGGCTTTTTGCTCCTGAACCGACCATACAGCAAAATCCAAAGTCTTGAGATCGGGGAGTTTGATGGCCAAACATCCTTCGTCCAAAAACCCGGAAGCGTGGTCTCACATCATTGCAGTGTTTTCTTTGCGCTGTGGGCCGATGCCCAGTCCTGCTGAAAGCTTCAGCTGCAGTTCTTCGCGTTTTTTCTCAGCCCAAGGGATCACTGCATCCTCCAGTCAGGAGCCCATACTTCGAGTTTTTTATTGTCCGTCACACTTCATGTGCGACACCCTGTATTTCAACGGGTTCGAAATAGCCACCGAGCTTCAGAGATTCTGTGGAAAGATTCGCTCGATAGCTGACAGCTAGGGATGATCAAAGAGCTGGCCTGAAAACTGAAAACATTTATTGGTCTCCCGGGAACTTTGAGTTATCAGAAACGATCCCAATTACAGTGCAATGGGGTTTTTGTTCGATATATTTACTAGCTATGCATTACCTCTCTAGTTAGGTTCTATTTGAGTATTTCTACCCACCTGTTTCAGTAGAAAATCTCTCGAGAAAATATGCCGTTGTGCGGAACTTGGCCAAATGTTGATGTCCTACTCGACCTCAGTTGCGATGTTGGACTCCATTATTTCAACTGAATTCAATTTGATCAAGTTTATCCGCTTCATGTTTACCCAGGACAGACATAATATTGCCCAACGCCTTGTGGATGCTGTCAAGGTTGCTTCAATGAAAAGTTGGAAAGTTATCGATATGTGCCAATGTGTTGCAGGTTCTTGGTCTCTATTGTGAACTGAACGAGAATTACAAACCACGTTTTTCTCTAATGTGGATTTATGTTCTGTACGCTGATCACCTTCAACGAGCCAATTCACCGGTAACATGACAATTTTGTGCTTCAGGCTCAGGTTTTTCTCGATCTTGAGCTCTATATGGGCTTAACTTTCCAAGACTCCTGCGCGAGGATACGCCTCTGAACACAAAGGAATTCTTAAGCACAGATATAATAGTTCCAGGATTTGACAGTTGTGCAGTTCTTGAACGAATTGGGACTGGGCAAAGGTGAAAAATTCTTGAGTGATGTAGCTTCTTGCCTTGTTGACTCTTGGATTAAAGAAATCGACAGCGCCGTTACAATATGGACGGAGGTAACGATTTTCGACAACCTGAATTGACTTCATTTATCGTTATTTCGTATCTCCAATATATTACACTTGCACATCCACATCTTTGTGTTTATTACCCGATTCAATAGGCATCCGTCGCTCAGCGTAAAAGACTACTATCTTCTACTGGTAGCGTGATTTTACGTTTCATGAACAAGGACGCGCACTATATGCACCTTTACCAGCAGCTGAAATCCATTGAAACACTGCAGGTAAAATGGTTTTTTGCTCATTACCACGGTCAGTACTGCGATCTGATAGAAGTTCAGGAATGCTACAATATGTATGTAACCACTCCACAGCTTGATACAAAGGAATGGCGAGAAGCAACTTTGAAGAATTTCATTGAGCGTGAGGAGCGTTCGCTGCAAGAAGTTGGTTCGAAAACTAAGTCATTTGTAATGAAAGGAAAGTGTTGGTGTTTCACGCAGGTTTTCGCCTTTTCAAGAACTCTTGGAATGTCCAGAGACGAAGCCAGCCGACTGGCCATAAAGTTGGCGATAGATTCTGGAAATACGATGGGAACGCTTACCATTATAAGGTCAGAATGCTTTTTGGTCGTGAAAAATGTTTTCGGGGATGGCAATTATTTCTACGGTTCAAGACAGAGTTGTATTATTGAGACACTTGTGACACCTTCATCATCTGCAGGAAGGTACTGGTTGTCTCGAATCACATTCTAGTCGGAAAAAGCACCGTTAGTGGCATCGTTTGCTTTGTGGCAGGCTTGATTGGTGTACATGTAAACTAATCTGCGAGTAATTTCAATGATTATTCTTACCAGTCTAATGCTTGCTGCTTATCAGAGAAGTATATACATCTCCCTCATCTCCCTGACTTCATGAACTTTACGCGCTGTTGAACTTACTTCTGAGTTATATATATAATATTACCACTCGATCACCCGGCTAATGCCAAACTCTCCTCTTTTTACCGCATTCACTCTTTCGAATTTGGACGTTCAGATTCAGGTGATTAAGTGACATTTTCGATTAAACACACACCCACACAATGACACATATTGTGCGAGCCCCGCCCGCCATGAGCAAGGTCCTGCTCATGTTCTATGCATTCGGATAACTTATTTCACACTAATTCCAGCTTGAGTCCGTGTTTTTACTTACCAAGAGACTACGCTCATTCCACGCACATCCCGCCCCTCTGCGCTACGTCTCCGCAGGCGTTCCTTTCTGGCACCTAGCATAGGTATCGCAATGCTGCCGCTGTGCCTTTACTAAATTTGAACTCCTTGGGTCTAAGCTAGCTAAAGCTAACTATTTTCGCGTATACTTATCCTAACGATCACGTGGCCAGTTTAATTTCTTTCAAGAGATGCTCTTCGGAATGTTCCAAACGCATCTGCTATGCTTGCCGACGCATGTGTTCATGGATGCGAGTTCGTTCTTTGGCGTCTGCAGGAAGTCGTGGGAAATGTGGACTCACCAGCCGACACAGAGATTGTAGAACAGGTGATTTACGCAAAGCATTTGTTGTCTCGGCTTGGTTCTCATAGCGTGACTTTGTCAAAAATACTGTAGTATGATCGCGGCGTACGAAAAGTATACCTAATGTATGCTGGAGAACAAAGGACAAGAAGATGATACACCGGCTGGAAAAATTTATGGCGGTGGCTATGCCTCCTTCTATCGCCAGCTTAGATGTGTACAACACGGAAA